CAGCTGTATGATGTAGCATCACTGACGAGTCCTAGAAGGACGAAACAGCTGTATGATGTAACATCACTGACGAGTCCTAGAAGGACGAAACAGCTGTATGATGTAGCATCACTGACGAGTCCTAGAAGGACGAAACAGCTGTATGATGTAGCATCACTGATGAGTCCTAGAAGGACGAAACAGCTGTATGATGTAGATCACTGACGAGTCCTAGAAGGACGAAACAGCTGTATGATGTAACATCACTGACGAGTCCTAGAAGGACGAAACAGCTGTATGATGTAGCATCACTGACGAGTCCTAGAAGGACGAAACAGCTGTATGATGTAGCATCACTGACGAGTCCTAGAAGGACGAAACATCACTGACGAGTCCTAGAAGGACGAAACAGCTGTATGATGTAGCATCACTGACGAGTCCTAGAAGGACGAAACAGCTGTATGATGTAGCATCACTGACGAGTCCTAGAAGGACGAAACAGCTGTATGATGTAACATCACTGACGAGTCCTAGAAGGACGAAACAGCTGTATGATGTATCATCACTGACGAGTCCTAGAAGGACGAAACAGCTGTATGATGTAGCATCACTGACGAGTCCTAGAAGGACGAAACATCACTGACGAGTCCTAGAAGGACGAAACAGCTGTATGATGTAACATCACTGACGAGTCCTAGAAGGACGAAACAGCTGTATGATGTAGCATCACTGACGAGTCCTAGAAGGACGAAACAGCTGTATGATGTAGCATCACTGACGAGTCCTAGAAGGACGAAACAGCTGTATGATGTAACATCACTGACGAGTCCTAGAAGGACGAAACAGCTGTATGATGTATCATCACTGACGAGTCCTAGAAGGACGAAACAGCTGTATGACGTAGCATCACTGACGAGTCCTAGAAGGACGAAACATCACTGACGAGTCCTAGAAGGACGAAACAGCTGTATGATGTATCATCACTGACGAGTCCTAGAAGGACGAAACAGCTGTATGATGTAACATCACTGACGAGTCCTAGAAGGACGAAACAGCTGTATGATGTAACATCACTGACGAGTCCTAGAAGGACGAAACAGCTGTATGATGTAACATCACTGACGAGTCCTAGAAGGACGAAACAGCTGTATGATGTAACATCACTGACGAGTCCTAGAAGGACGAAACAGCTGTATGATGTAACATCACTGACGAGTCCTAGAAGGACGAAACAGCTGTATGATGTAACATCACTGACGAGTCCTAGAAGGACGAAACAGCTGTATGATGTAACATCACTGACGAGTCCTAGAAGGACGAAACAGCTGTATGATGTAACATCACTGACGAGTCCTAGAAGGACGAAACAGCTGTATGATGTAGCATCACTGACGAGTCCTAGAAGGACGAAACAGCTGTATGATGTAACATCACTGACGAGTCCTAGAAGGACGAAACAGCTGTATGATGTAACATCACAGACGAGTCCTAGAAGGACGAAACAGCTGTATGATGTAATATCACTGACGAGTCCTAGAAGGACGAAACAGCTGTATGATGTAATATCACTGACGGGTCCTAGAAGGACGAAACAGCTGTATGATGTAGTTTAATTCATCGTTTGGTTCTCAGAATATATATAAAATTAATATTTAATTCAATAATCCAACTTTTATAACCCACGCTAGCTAAAAATTATGACCGTAAGTACTGTACAGTCTAGTAATAAGATAGAAAGGAATACGCTAGGTAAAATATGTCAAATGGAAGCAAGAAAAATATTCTTTATGTTAAAATAATTTATACCATAGTAAAGCTTGTTTATTCTTCTACCTAGCTATATGCGGGCATAAGGTAAAAAATATCAGTTAGTTTAATAATTTAACTTTAGCGCACCACCTTCGCGCTTCTCATACAGTATCTTATATAGTACCGTCACTCGGTTAACAGCGGACATAGCACAGTGTTATCGAGTCGCGGGTAGAAGGTGAGGAGAAAAGTTGCCCATGTTTGTTTCGAACTCCAAGTTGTAACAGGTGCTATTCGCTTGTGTGCGTGTGTTCACGGAAGGTACCAGAGTCAGTTATCTACATTGTAGACTGTCGATATCTGATCGGACTTCTTGTTATATCAATTTCACATCAAATGCCAATACCAACTGATACCCACAAGGGATCCATACCTGTAACGATCACGTGCAATGTGAAATTTATTCCCAGTTAAGTGATACCGGTAACTATATACATATTTTCTTGCTAAAGGTTATAATCTGAATGAAAAAATATCTCGTGTCTGAAGTTTCGTTTGCTTTGCCATGAATGACATATGGAAACGTTCGAAATATCTTCGTGACAAATCGCTGTTAAAACTTTCAAGTACTGTTTAAGTTTGTCATTCAATGCAAAATTTTGTTGCATCCAGCAGGTATACATAGCAATGAATAACACCGTCACACTGTCTGAAGGTTGATAAGATTTGTTGAATTAAATGCCTGACATCACAACTATATAGAAAGTTACAAGTGTGGTTTCTATGACAACACTGTCACCTTTATCAGACTAATGACCATTGTGAAGAGTATTAACACTGAGATATACAGAGTGCGAGATGATCGTGAAATTTCTTTATCTGTCAGCTGTAACGTAATTAAAGGTTAACAATGTAGGGTTTGAGTTTATACATTTGGTGTCCACAAGCTACTATTACGTGAAATAACAATTCATCTACTTCGTATCAAGCCTGGACGTAGGTGTTCAAGGTTAACTGGGACCCTACGTCACTGCCTTGCTACAGTCTTCTTTATTTAATGTATATGGCAAGTTTACTGTGTTACTCTGTGTTATTGCGGTGTTAAGTCAACTTTATCGTTCAATGTAGTGTGTTTCTCGGTGTTATTGGTTGACGTAATCACTGTGTTACTTTATCTAACGTGTCTAGTGTTGTGTTGTTGGTTGATGTAATTACTGTGTTACTTTATCTAACGTGTATAGTGTTGTGTGGTTTATGTAATTACTGTGTAACTTTATCTAACGTGTCTAGTGTTGTATGGTTTATGTCATTACTGTGCTACTTTATCTAACGTGTCTAGTGTTGTATGGTTTATGTAATTACTGTGTTACTTTATCTAACGTGTGTAGTGTTGTATGGTTTATGTAATCACTGTGTTACTTTATCTAACGTGTCTAGTGTTGTGTGTTTGATGTAATTACTGTGTTACTTTATCTAACGTGTCTAGTGTTGTTGGTTTATGTCATTACTGTGCTACTTTATCTAACGTGTCAAGTGTTGTGTTGTTGGTTGATGTAATTACTGTTACTTTATCTAACGTGTCTAGTGTTGTGTGTTTGATGTAATTACTGTGTTACTTTATCTAACGTGTCAAGTGTTGTGTTGTTGGTTGATGTAATTACTGTGTTACTTTATCTAACATGTCTAGTGTTGTGTGTTTGATGTAATTACTGTGTTACTTTATCTAATGTGTCTAGTGTTGTATGGTTTATGTCATTACTGTGCTACTTTATCTAACGTGTCAAGTGTTGTGTTGTTGGTTGATGTAATTACTGTGTTACTTTATCTAACGTGTCTAGTGTTGTATGGTTTATGTCATTACTGTGCTACTTTATCTAACGTGTCAAGTGTTGTATGGTTTATGTCATTACTGTGTTACTTTATCTAACGTGTCTAGTGTTGTGTGTTTGATGTAATTACTGTGTTACTTTATCTAACGTGTCAAGTGTTGTATGGTTTATGTCATTACTGTGCTACTTTATCTAACGTGTCTAGTGTTGTGTGTTTGATGTAATTACTGTGTTACTTTATCTAACGTGTCAAGTGTTGTATGGTTTATGTCATTACTGTGCTACTTTATCTAACGTGTCTAGTGTTGTGTGTTTGATGTAATTACTGTGTTACTTTATCTAACGTGTCAAGTGTTGTGTTGTTGGTTGATGTAATTACTGTGTTACTTTATCTAACATGTCTAGTGTTGTGTGTTTGATGTAATTACTGTGTTACTTTATCTAATGTGTCTAGTGTTGTATGGTTTATGTCATTACTGTGCTACGTTATCTAACGTGTCAAGTGTTGTGTTGTTGGTTGATGTAATTACTGTGTTACTTTATCTAACGTGCCTAGTGTTTTATGGTTTATGTCATTACTGTGCTACTTTATCTAACGTGTCAAGTGTTGTATGGTTTATGTCATTACTGTGTTACTTTATCTAACGTGTCTAGTGTTGTGTGTTTGATGTAATTACTGTGTTACTTTATCTAACGTGTCTAGTGTTGTGTGGTTTATGTAATTACTGTGTTACTTTATCTAACGTGTGTAGTGTTGTGTGGCTGTTTTATATAATTACATAAAGTTTATTTCATTGTGTTTTTATGCTAATACTTTCAGACATCGTGTACTGCACGAGGAAGGCCAGTAAAACTTAATCTTATCGTCTCTAAATTAAATTTCCACATCCAAGGATTCAATACCCAGGCCCTTACCCTCACTGAAAAGTCCTCAGAGAACGAAACATCTATTTGATGTAGTAAAGTTAGTTTTGCATAGATTCTGAATGCGTATATGAAGGTACTATTCACTTGTGTGTCTTTTGTACAATCTTTGACCCTACTGTATCTAATTCTTAATCTGTAGTAAAAGGTACTATTCACTTGTGTGTCTTTTGTACAATCTTTGACCCTACCGTATCTAATTCTTAATTTGCATTAAAAGGCACTATTCACCTGTGTGTCTTTTGTACAATCTTTGACCCTACTGTATCTAATTCTTAATTTGCATTAAAAGGTACTATTCACTTGTGTGTCTTTTGTACAATCTTTGACCCTACTGTATCTAATTCTTAATTTGTAGTAAAAGGTACTATTCACTTGTGTGTCTTTTGTACAATCTTTGACCCTACTGTATCTAATTCTGAATGTGTATCAGGTGGTAGACACCGCTAATGAGCTATGATATATCAAGTTCCTAATCTACTTGACGTTGACGGCATCATTCTCTAAATCTGTTTCTAGATCGCGACTTGCGTGAGCTGATTAAAGATTTAATAAAACTTAAAGCTGGTGACAATGATCAGAGATCAGCGTTACATGGAAAAGGAAAGGAAGAGGAAAGAAATGAGATGGTAGAGGAAGACGAGATTGAGGGAAACGATGCGTTGGAAGACATTTTGATGGAATTGAAAAGGGATAATTCGATACAACAGAACAACTTAGAACTTCCTGCAGAGGGCGGAAATGAGGAGGAGGAGGAGGAGGAGGAGGAGAGGGAAGAGGAGGAGGAGACGAGATCAGGGGGAAACATCGACAAGACTAAGTTCTATAAATCCAAACTAACGAAACAAGGGAAAGTTTGGGGTCTAAACGATGACAGACGAGAGGAGGGTCATGGTATCGACTTAGATAGAGTGGTAAATGTTGTATAAATAGTATGGTTGGTTATAGCAATAACTTACTTAAATCGAATACTCGATTATCTCGAATTTTTCCTATTGTCCTGTCGAGATAAGAGGTTCGACTGTAGTTCTCTCACTCATCTAATATAGAATGCCTTTCAAAGTGTTTCCCATATAAAAATGGGATTAATATGATGATTTTAGTTATCCGTATTGATCAACAATATACTTTCTAACAACTGTTCATATCAACTATTCATTCTGCTATTGTAATGTTCTCCGTTCGCTCACATGCTGCTTGTGGGCACTTTATCTAAAGACTAGTATGACAGTTTTCCACAGTTCACTGATAACTTTTGTTTTCGTGCAGAAGTGAAATTGGTGTCACATTCTGAGAGTTATCAATATCATATCATCAATCAAAAGAGTAAGACCATGAGTTCTCGAAAGCTTTTTGGTAAATTCATCGATTCAATTTCATTTCAGAATATCAACCCTGACAGTGAACTGGAATATCTACTTTTGACATTTCAAGTCGACGAACATGGCATAAAACAGCGAGTATGTAATGATACATTGATCGAGATATTTTGTGTTTTTGATCGAGATATCTCGTATTTTTGATCGAGATGTCTAGTGTATTTGATAGGAATATGTGATGTTTACAAAATGCTAGCTGTCCCTGAAAAGGTTCTGGCCACGATTTTTTATAACGCTATTTTTCACGCTGAACCACTATAATAATGTATTTATCCAACCCCTCTCGGCACACAGACAATCGTGAAAACTGACCTTCCCCGTTTAGCCTAGATTGGTGAATATGCGTATTGTGAATGTAAACTGAGATGACATGAAGTCAATATCGTTTATAGATCTTAATTTATAAATTTCCATTCGTTATGTAACGTCTTACGGCTTTGTACCACGTGGTATTGAAAACTAAAAACAATTAATATGTATTCCAAACAATTATAATTTCTTCATTCGCCTGTTAGGTGTCAAAATTATAACTTGTATCAGAGGATGATGTTTCAGGTGGGGTTTTTTAATAATGTTTACACAGATGATATGATCTGAAAACGTTTTATGAAGCAGGTGGGCTTCTCGTGTAAACGAATTAATAATCAGTTAGATGAGTAAAGTAAAAAATAGTATTTACAGTTATACATGTACAGGAACAAATGGCATAACGTATTTTATATATAAAAAGCGGCAGTAACATACTGTAAATCACTTACATTCTGTGTGTTATATTTTCTATCATGAGTTGCTGTCTTTTTTCTAGAGCATAAATGAAGCCTTTCATCGATCTAAATCAAAATAATTTTAATTTTTTTAGGAATTTCGTTTTTAGGAATTGCCAGGAAATTTAAATTAAAGATCAGTCATTTATCCGCTGTATAGCTGTTTTGTTATACCTCGAAATTCAAGTGTGCTGTGACCAAGCGGTGCTGTGTAATGATCACTGTCATGTTTCACGAGGACACGTAGTATGAAAATTGAAACGACAAAAACTGTTTATAACAATATGTAGAATAACATATCCACGTCATCGCTGTTACAGGCTGAAAATCTACACAGTGACACGGAAAGAGTGAAAGGTGAAGAGCATGACATTCATCCTACACCACCAGAGGATACAGTCGAGTCTCAACGCCAGGTAATCATACCCACTAAACAAGTGCACTCCTTAACGTTTCTATGTAATCAAGGCCAAAGCGACATCCGGGTTCCCTGGCGCATTGGTGTGTGATACAAAGTTACGCTCGACCAGAGTATATCTGACTTGGTTTTAAGTTTACATTGACCAGGCGATTAGATCGAGGTTTCAAAACAAGAAATGTGAAGCAGTATCAGAGAATACAAGGAAATGTATACAATACCCACATGTACAGAGTCATACAATACTGGTGTAAAGGAGACAACCTTTATATCATAGAGTACAGGTAACATCATCCTCCATCATGCTCTTTTTTCATTTCATTGCAACACATTTCATTGATAAACTTATCAAACCATGAATGCTTCAGGAAATTGTTAAATGTTAAGTCTTTTCCTCAATCACGCGATAGAATGTAAACCATACACAGATGTACAGACCCTATTGGTGGAAGGGAGACAACTTTTAAATTTCTTAACTTTAGTGCTTATAAATACACAATATTGAATTCAATATTACACGGCAATAATCAATTAGTATCCACAAACTTTTAGATTCAATAAGATATTTACAAGGAAACGTCACTTAAAGGATCTGTATTTGGATTTCTACACATGTTGGTGGGTCAGGACTGTGGAAGTGGGGATAGGGGGTGTAGATCTGTTTACAGGTAACAGTAACCTAGATCTATTTACAGGTAACAGTAACCTAGATCTGTTTACAGGTAACAGTAACCTAGATCTGTTTACAGGTAACAGTAACCTAGATCTGTTTACAGGTAACAGTAACCTAGATCTGTTTACAGGTAACAGTAATCAATACAATAAGAGATTGTTGAGATCATTTTTCAGCTCACCTCGTTCAAACGACCGATTAGCGTATGCCAATGCATGGTGTCCGTTGTTCTGTCATCAACATTTGTTTTTTTTAAAGTCGGTACTTGTCATGTTAAAGACTTGGTGGATTTGGTCAAATACCTCCCGAGGAGAAGAGGAGGTGATTTGAGGGTAAATGTTGGGTCTCGGCATAACGAAGCATGAGTGGCTCTTTAAGCCCAAAAGTGAAAATAGAAAAATTATTTTAAATTCTTGTTCTTTTGTTGAAATGCCTTGATTCTCTTCCTATAAGGTCTGAGAATGTTTGGTTGAAAATAACGTAATTTTGTATCAACCAGGAGTCTGGCCCCCTAAAGCCGCATAATTATATAGTCCAGGTTTGATCTGAAGCATCCTTGGGTGAATAGGACACAATTTTGTACAAACGGTTTGATCACAAGGCTGGGTTCCAATAGGGAAATAATTTTAGAAATCATTCTTCATTTTCTTGAATTCTTTGTTAAAGACTGTACCTGAATTAGCCAGTTGAGCGATGCAGGTCTCATGGGCCTCTTGTTATCGATTATTTAGCTAAATGGACATGGCTTCACGAGAAGGAATTTCATCAAGGATATCAACAAGCTATGGCCGGGTGGTATAGTGCCGTACGAAATCGACGCTGGTTCTTTCAGTGAGTATCCCTTATCATATGCATGTTGTTTCCATTATCTTCTGTGACAGAGTGCATAGGAGGAGACTGGTTACCTCCCTTAATCCTCTACTATCCGCCAGGACTGCGCTCTTCTTACAAACGTACGAGGGCCAACTGAGAGGGGAGCAGTCTATGAATGGGAGAACACGGGTTTATGCATTGATCTTATTATAATGTCTATTTTGTCCTTTAAGTTCAAGGTCACTATAATATTGATCAAAGTCTATGATTGTTAGTTTATGTTTGAATAATCATAGATACATATATCCATTACGTTTGGTTATACATAATGATTAAACATATAACATATGTATTACATATAGATATATGAGAATCATAGGTACATATCAATAACATTTAGTTACATATAAACTTTTTGTGAAATATTTATGTAAATAGGTGTGACGTTTTAATGGCTATACTGTGACTTTCATCAGACAAACGATGCATACAGTGTACGAGATTGTGATCATTGTACTTTCCAGCTGTGATATTTTATACACTAAGGTAAAATGTTGATAATTAAAGCTTACAGGTGGAGTATCTAAGATAATACCACTAATAAATAGGGCAAGGGAGATAATAAGAGGAAGCAGGGTTCAGCGTTTTCATCCAAATTAGGGGAGAAGTGTAGGTGTTTATGGCTTATGAGATTTTCATCGGACTGGAAAGGATGGTAGAGTTGATTTTATCAAACAGGAAGATTAAGGCAGGGCTTTATCATCAAACTTTGGGATTAGTGATCTTTGATTTCATCCATCTGAGGTGATTTGGTCATGATTATTTTTCAATATAGGGGAGGCGGGGTCTGGCAGGGGAGGGTGGAGTAACGACATCGGGAGAGTAGACATCTTGGTTTTACATCATATTGGGGTGGCCAGGGTCAAGTTTTTATCCATCTGGATGTGGGTGTCTTGGTTTAACATCCCATTGGAGAGGCCAGGGTCAGGTTTTTATCAATCTGGATGTGGGTGTCTTGGTTTTACATCATCACATTGGAGAGGCCAGGGTCAGGTTTTTATCAATCTGGATGTGGGTGTCTTGGTTTAACATCCCATTGGAGAGGCCAGGGTCAGGTTTTTATCAATCTGGATGTGGGTGTCTTGGTTTAACATCCCATTGGAGAGGCCAGGGTCAGGTTTTTATCAATCTGGATGTGGGTGTCTTGGTTTAACATCCCATTGGAGAGGCCAGGGTCAGGTTTTTATCAATCTGGATGTGGATGTCTTGGTTTATCATCCCATTGGAGAGGCCAGGGTCAGGTTTTTATCAATCTGGATGTGGGTGTCTTGGTTTTACATCACATTGGAGAGGCCAGGGTCAGGTTTTTATCAATCTGGATGTGGGTGTCTTGGTTTAACATCACATTGGAGAGGCCAGGGTCAGGTTTTTATTAATCTGGATGTGGGTGTCTTGGTTTAACATCACATTGGATAGGCCAGGGTCAGGTTTTTATCAATCTGGATGTGGGTGTCTTGGTTTTACATCACATTGGAGAGGCCAGGGTCAGGTTTTTATCAATCTGGATGTGGGTGTCTTGGTTTTACATCACATTGGAGAGGCCAGGGTCAGGTTTTTATCAATCTGGATGTGGGTGTCTTGGTTTTACATCACATTGGAGAGGCCAGGGTCAGGTTTTTATCAATCTGGATGTGGGTGTCTTGGTTTATCATCCCATTGGAGAGGCCAGGGTCAGGTTTTTATCAATCTGGATGTGGGTGTCTTGGTTTATCATCCCATTGGAGAGGCCAGGGTCAGGTTTTTATCAATCTGGATGTGGGTGTCTTGGTTTATCATCCCATTGGAGAGGCCAGGGTCAGGTTTTTATCAATCTGGATGTGGGTGTCTTGGTTCATCATCCCATTGGGGAGGCCAGGGTCAGGTTTTTATCAATCTGGATGTGGGTGTCTTGGTTTATCATCACATTAGGGAGGCCAGGGAGGGGGTGCATAAAGAAGTGAAAAACCGAAGAACAGTAGGGGTGAGGATTTCCATGAAGTAAGAAGGAGAAGGGTCTGAAATCGATCAAATTGACAGAAACTATTAATCGGAATATCAGCTCAGTTTCCTTTGAATATTGTTTGTTTTATTTGTATACGCTCACCCTGATGCTATTCCTAAACGTGTTCTGAATTCATTGTGTTTACTTTAAAAATGTACCCTGCCCCCTTATCATTATCATTGTAAAGTACCATGACAATATTGAGCGTTCTGGCAGAGACGTTCACTTGTTGGTGGTAGTAAGTTTTCTCTCGATTTAATCAGGCGATGAAGACATTTCTGTCATACAAGGTGCTATGGAGGAAGTGCAATCTAAAACCTGCATTAAGTTCCAGCCATTTGACACAGATTCCAGTTCAACCCTAGGCCACAATGCCTATATCCTGTTTACAAAGTAAGTTCATCAAGATATTACAAAGAAACACTTAATAAATGACTGAAAGAAGGATCAGTAATAAAACCATCTATATAATTATCAAGAAACTTTTCAGCATCACTAACGAAATGACGAAACAGCTGTATGATGTAACATCACTGACGAGTCCTAGACGGACAGAACAGCTGTATGATTTAGCATCACTGACGAGTCCTAGACGGACAGAACAGCTGTATGATGTAGCATCACTGACGAGATTTAGAAGGACGAAACACCTGTGTGATGTAGCATCACTGACGAGTCCTAGAAAGACGAAACAGATGTATGATGTAGCATCACTGACAAGTCCTAGAAAGACGAAACAGATATATGATGTAGCATCACTGACGAGTCCTAGAATGACAGAACAGCTGTATGATGTAGCATCACTGACGAGTTTTAGAAGGACGAAACAACTGTGTGATGTAGCATCAAATCACACAGGGTTTCAAACGATGATTAAAAGATATGGAGAACTGTAACTGTCATCATAGTGAACTAAATATGAAATACTGTGTGATATGAAGGAGGTGCTTGATACTTGTGTTAGTGTGTCTGTTGGTTTCTTGTTCTATACTTGTTCTCGTGACATTAATGACCTTGATTTACTGCTGTCGTTGATGAAACAATCGACACTTACTCTTCCGGAAGACCTTGTCTTTTCCTTCATGTCCTTAACACGAGTCTCCGTGTATTTTTTTTTCTTTTCTCTATATTTTGCCCTATTTTTATGGAATTTGAGTTTGAATCATGAATATGTTCTCATGTTGGTATTTTTTGAAATATGCTCTGCACTTGTGCGTCTTTCGCGTCATCTTCAAATGCATGAGACAATGAGACTGTAACCTAACCGAGACGATGGATTGCAACACAAGAGAGAACAACAGTTTACACTATTTACATTTATTACAATTTACAAAACTACTGTCCAAAATGTACATATGGCATACCTAACATGATGAAATCTCTCACTCCACAGATTCATACTGCTAATAATGATATTTCACACCAGTCTACACACTATTATGAAGATGCTACACACAAATAACTACTACCTAAACCTATAAACTATAAACCCTAACCTACTCCTGGTATTCACATCCTATATACACCATATACACCCTACAGTTCATATATGAGCACAATCCGGCGACTGGTTCCCCTGCATAGCCCACGCAACAAAGTTTGTAGATCCTGACGTAGAGATGCCTCCTCCGTCATTCCATAGAGTGACTGTAAGTGTCCATATCTCCTGACTGTAGCACAGGACCGTATATGGCACAGTTCCACCAAATGAAAACACAATCTCGTAGTACGAGGTATATGAAGTCATCAGACAAATGGAGACGATCTCACCAAAAGATCACTGAAGATCACTAAAGAATTGACCATAATATCGCCACAACACGCAGCTGGGCCTCCATAGCATCCATGCACTAATAGCGTTCAATATGACCGCAAAAACATGTCAACACAACACTCCTGCATCGCTCAACCGAATGCAGTACAACAACGACAGGAATAATCAACAACAAGACAACGAAGTGTCCATTCTGGTAACAATCATATGGCTGTTACGGGCTTCCATACATGAAATTTCGCCGTCAGCTCATGATATGGTTCGGGCATGATATGGAGCTACAATATACAAATAATACCCTATAAGGCTATATTCTACACATTATAACTAATAAAGAAATGATTATATTTATTTCTATTACTGTAATCTATCTTAAGTAAACACGGCAATACACATCACCGCTCTCGATAACGCGTTCGCTCACCCTTTACCTGTATACTGATATAACTCGCTACGCACCGGCTAATACACCTATACGTTCACGGACGCTATCATACACGACTTATATATTCTTAATAAACATATAACTTACCGTGGCTGTATTTCACGCTCCCAAAGCTTTCCCGATGTTTCACACCTGTCAACACATCAAGATGTCCGCCCGAATACCTTACCCGTCGTCCTTTGCCCATGCGCGATAACTTTTAAAAGTTTCGCACGAGATTACAACCAGCCTGTATATAAGCTCATAATTCGTATGTGACAGAGACGTATGCATTAGATTAGATTTTACATCCAGATCACAAAGTTTTGATCTGTTAAAGTATTTTTCAGTCATTTGATGACAAACGCCAAAATTTTGACTCGTGAAGATTTCCAAGGGTTGCTGTTGGTCGACTTGATGTAGATCAGTCTAAAATAACGAAAAATGAAACCTTATCTGTAAACTGTGATATAAGACCGAGAATTATACACCATTATGATTCTGTTAACGAAGATCTGCCCTCGGAATTGAGTTTCTGTATCTTTATTTCAGCGCTGAAGGGTGCTGGTCGTATGTCGGGAAGATATCGAATGGAAAACAAGATATTGGACTCGATACTCGCTACTGTGTCTCCGTATGTAGCTAGGTTATCATAAGCATTCGTTTAATTAAAGATGATATAAAGTCATTTGAATGGCGTTGCTTTACACATATCATTGTAGATTCATACATGTATAGATTGTAAAACTGAAAGAACGTTCTGTAAAAATAAAGAGTGACACAGAGAAGAAAGTTGTAATGTGTTCCCTCATTGTTTTCAGAATCCGACGGTTATTCACGAGTTATGTCATGCATTAGGAATGGAACACGAACAAAGCCGACCGGACCGTGACAATTACGTTACAATCTTATGGAATAATACTATAGACGGTGAAGACAATGGGAATATGGTTAAATATGACACAGATGAGACCAATCCGTATGATTACGAATCCCTTCTGCAGTATCGGCTAAAGGTAAGATTAACAGTCTTTCCATGATGTTTAACAGAATTTACGAACTGTACTGAAGCGTATTCGTGAAAAATACGTCCAAATGAAATAAGTCTGACTCACGAAACCAACGACAATATAACCGTCACGAAAATTAACTCTTTCACAGTATTATTTTATGCAAACATTTGGTTTAACTGATATGTTTCAATTGGATGATGCAACATATTTAACACTAATTATATGATTGTACAAACGACACACAAGTGAAAAATACTTTTAAACACAAATCAAGAATTAGTTACAGTAGGGTCAAAGATTGTACAAAAGACACACAAGTGAATAGTACCTTTTAATACAAATTAAGAATTAGATACAGTAGGGACAAAAATTGTACAAAAGGCACACAAGTGAATAGTACCTTTTACTACAAATTAAGAATTAGATACAGTAGGGACAAAAATTGTACAAAAGACACACAAGTGAATAGTACCTTTTACTACAAATTAAGAATTAGTTACAGTAGGGTCAAAGATTGTACAAAAGACACACAAGTGAATAGTACCTTTTAATACAAATTAAGAATTAGATACAGTAGGGTCAAAGATTGTACAAAAGACACACAAGTGAATAGTACCTTTTAATACAAATTAAGAATTAGATACAGTAGGGACAAAAATTGTACAAAAGGCACACAAGTGAATAGTACCTTTTACTACAAATTAAGAATTAGTTACAGTAGGGTCAAAGATTGTACAAAAGACACACAAGTGAATAGTACCTTTTAATTCAAATTAAGAATTAGATACAGTAGGGTCAAAGATTGTACAAAAGACACACAAGTGAATAGTACCTTTTAATACAAATTAAGAATTAGATACAGTAGGGACAAAGATTGTACAAAAGACACACAAGTGAATAGTACCTTTTACTACAAATTTAGAATTAGATACAGTAGGGACAAAAATTGTACAAAAGGCACACAAGTGAATAGTACCTTTTACTACAAATTTAGAATTAGATACAGTAGGGACAAAAATTGTACAAAAGACACACAAGTGAATAGTACCTTTTACTACAAATTAAGAATTAGATAGAGTAGGGACAAAGATTGTACAAAAGGCACACAAGTGAATAGTACCTTTTACTACAAATTAAGAATTAGATAGAGTAGGGACAAAAATTGTACAAAAGACACACAAGTGAATAGTACCTTTTACTACAAATTTAGAATTAGATAGAGTAGGGTCAAAGATTGTACAAAAGGCACACAAGTGAATAGTACCTTTTACTACAAATTAAGAATTAGATAGAGTAGGGACAAAGATTGTACAAAAGACACACAAGTGAATAGTACCTTTTACTACAAATTAAGAATTAGATAGAGTAGGGACAAAGATTGTACAAAAGACACACAAGTGAATAGTACCTTTTAATACAAATTAAGAATTAGATACAGTAGGGACAAAGATTGTACAAAAGACACACAAGTGAATAGTACCTTTTACTACAAATTTAGAATTAGATACAGTAGGGACAAAAATTGTACAAAAGGCACACAAGTGAATAGTACCTTTTACTACAAATTTAGAATTAGATACAGTAGGGACAAAAATTGTACAAAAGACACACAAGTGAATAGTACCTTTTACTACAAATTAAGAATTAGATAGAGTAGGGACAAAGATTGTACAAAAGGCACACAAGTGAATAGTACCTTTTACTACAAATTAAGAATTAGATAGAGTAGGGACAAAAATTGTACAAAAGACACACAAGTGAATAGTACCTTTTACTACAAATTTAGAATTAGATAGAGTAGGGTCAAAGATTGTACAAAAGGCACACAAGTGAATAGTACCTTTTACTACAAATTAAGAATTAGATAGAGTAGGGACAAAGATTGTACAAAAGACACACAAGTGAATAGTACCTTTTACTACAAATTAAGAATTAGATAGAGTAGGGACAAAGATTGTACAAAAGAAGTAAATATCACATTTTAGTACAAATATTCTTTTAATCTTTTAATCTTATTGTATTTTTAACACCTAGGCTTTTGCAATAGACAGCAGTGATTACACTATTCGCTTCCATGACCGTGAATTAGAGTTTCTGGCCGGCCTGGCTAAAGAGTTAACGTTCTATGACGTCATGGATATAACAGCAGCTTACCATTGCACAGGTTAGTATATAGTACTGTACTTGATGCATGTCTTCTTGTTTATCAGTAATTTCAAGTGAGAGTTTGATCATGAGTCAAAATCCCACTGCGAAAAAGAGTTCTACTGATGGTTCTCACGGGTTTGTTTGATGTACATTAATGTTAAATTTATCATGTACGCATTTAATCTAAGTTTAAGTCGCCGGTTTATTTGCGAAGAAGTCCAAGTAGTTCTTATGTTATGTTTGCCCTACTTAGGGGATTTTACCAGATATTTCCATTTACCACAGTGTGAGTGTGCGTCAAGTTACGGGAGTTATGATCCTTTCCCCGAGGCCTTTAGTTTCCCTAAGGTGTAGCCTGAATAACGACTAAACAATTTTCTGGTTTCTGAAGTCCAGGTCTACTTCCATAGACTATCAGTCAAATCCATGCTTTAATCATGAATTAGGCATAAACCAGAGATGTCTTTCTTACTAGGAACTACTTTCAAAACAATTAGTAAGTACGCAGATCCACTTCAGTTAAAATGCTAATGAAAAATGAAGCCAATTACAAAGTGAAACCAAGCAATGAACTGAAGAGAACAGATTTTATCTTTTTTGTATCAAACTCTGCCAACATCATGGTTTGTACCGGACAGCAAGGGGCTTTTTAAAGTCCAATAGTCAGAAAAGAAACGGACAATCTGTATTTAAGACTTAGAGATGAAGCAGAAGACGCTTACATTTCCGAAACACCTGACTTATTTAACTTGTACGTTTTCAGCAGTCTCCGTATAATTGTTTTCTTTTGTTGATAGCCTTAAAGCTAGTTATTACGAATTTATTTGGAAGAGTTCCTGATTGCATTAATTTCTTGACGATTTTCAATGATCAGTCCGAGGGGTACAGAAATCTATACCGATCAATCCGAGGGGTACAGAAATCTATACCGATTAATCCGAGGGGTACAGAAATCTATACCGATCAATCCGAGGAGTACAGAAATCTATACCGATCAGTCCGAGGAGTACAGAAATCTATACCGATCAGTCCGAGGAGTACAGAAATCTATACCGATCAATCCGAGGGGTACAGGAATCTATACCGATCAATCCGAGGAGTACAGAAATCTATACCGATTAATCCGAGGAGTACAGGAATCTATACCGATTAATCCGAGGAGTACAGGAATCTATACCGATTAATCCGAGGGGTACAGAAATCTATACCGATCAATCCGAGGAGTACAGAAATCTATACCGATCAATCCGAGGGGTACAGAAATCTATACCGATCAATCCGAGGAGTACAGAAATCTATACCGATCAGTCCGAGGAGTACAGAAATCTATACCGATTAATCCGAGGAGTACAGGAATCTATACCGATTAATCCGAGGGGTACAGGAATCTATACCGATTAATCCGAGGAGTACAGAAATCTATACCGATTAATCCGAGGGGTACAGGAATCTATACCGATTAATCCGAGGGGTACAGAAATCTATACCGATTAATCCGAGGGGTACAGGAATCTATACCGATTAATCCGAGGGGTACAGGAATCTATACCGATTAATCCGAGGGGTACAGGAATCTATACCGATTAATCCGAGGGGTACAGGAATCTATACCGATTAATCCGAGGAGTACAGAAATCTATACCGATTAATCCGAGGGGTACAGGAATCTATACCGATTAATCCGAGGGGTACAGAAATCTATACCGATTAATCCGAGGGGTACAGGAATCTATACCGATTAATCCGAGGGGTACAGGAATCTATACCGATTAATCCGAGGGGTACAGGAATCTATACCGATTAATCCGAGGGGTACAGGAATCTATACCGATTAATCCGAGGGGTACAGAAATCTATACCGATTAATCCGAGGAGTACAGGAATCTATACCGATTAATCCGAGGAGTACAGAAATCTATACCGATCAGTCCGAGGAGTACAGAAATCTATACCGATCAGTCCGAGGAGTACAGAAATCTATACCGATCAATCCGAGGAGTACAGGAATCTATACCGATCAGTCCGAGGAGTACAGAAATCTATACCGATTAATCCGAGGAGTACAGGAATCTATACCAGGAACATTGTAGGGAGTAAACTGTTAGTAGTAAACCATACGGATATTTAGGATACGGTTCACACTTACTCCTAACATAGGGTTTCAAACGATGCAGGGTAATGAAAAAAATTGGGGAAGTTTTACGGTCGTCATAGTGATATTTTTAGTCTACTTCTTTGTGTGATATGAAGCTGGACGTGTATAAAGCTGGTTAGTTTGCCTGCTGGTTCCGTTGTTGTATACATTGTTCTTATCTGAGTACCTGACGTGGTTGACCACGGTTTACGTGGCGGGTGTCATTGATGAAGCAGATGTTTCAGATATCAATTTCTTGTCGTGTTTTGATAAGTTAATACTAAACAGTTTATCATTTACCTAACTTATGGCCTCAGTTACTTATGCTGGTTTCTAAAGAAATGATCTCCATCTTTATAATAAAAAAGCATTTTGATCGAGTGCCATCAATACAAGAAATACAATCTCCTCGTTTTTTAGACAAATGTGGCGCAGATACACCAAGATGTCAAAATGGTGGATTCGTGAATCACCACTGTGAGTGTACATGTCCGGAACATCTTCACGGAGTCGACTGTTCCTCGGTCGAAACGAATTCAGGTAACGTATAAAAACTATAAAACACAAGTTAATTTAGTCTATAATTTCTATAATATTTCTAATCAGTAAAGCAATTCTGAACTTTTTTTGAAACTTGAAGTAAGATATTCTGCAAGTGTGTGACGTCATTGTTTGTCATCGAACCCTGACGTCACGTTTTCCTTCACTGTAAACGGGGCGATCATTTAAATCGTATAATAGGAGATTTTTGAGTTACCAATTACGGTCGCCTCGGTACAATTTAAATTATTTTAAATCTTGGAATCTGATTAAAAGTTATATATATATATATATATTTATATCAAACTACTGAACCATTATAATATACAATAAACAGTCGAACCACGTTATCTCAAATTCGTATAAAACTCGAAAAACCACGTTTGATTTGAAGAATTTCGTCGGTTCCTTCCTAACTTTACACAAAGCTTTTTGATAGAATACTTGATTATCTCAACATTTTTCCCATGGTCGCGCCGAGTTCGAGATAACAAGGTTCAAATGCAAATTAAACAGACATTTCAGCTTTCAATAACAATGAAAACAAAATAATTTAAGATATATGATTCTTATGGGATTCGCCCAAGATAGAATACATTCTGGTCAAGATAGAAGACGAAACCGGAGTTTAAAAGGATACTGCCATGTCTATCCCTGATAAATTGTTTGTCTCTCCACTGCATGAGAGACAAAGACTTTGGGTTTTACAAGTGTAAACAATCTCAACCCAGTGTATCAATAATGTTCTATTTACAATGGAACTTCTTAATCTGGAACTCGTATACCTCGAAGACCCTGTTTAATTCGAAGCATTTCGTCGGTTCCTTCCGAACTTTACACAAAAGATTCGAACTCACTTAAGCGAATGCTCAATTATCTCGAAGTTCTTCAATGCTCCAGCCGAGCTCGAGATAACGAAGCTCGACTGTATATATAAATACTAGATCAAGTGATAAATCTACATACACACTAGCCCCGTGTCTTGTACTCATAAAATTGTAATAGAACTCGGAGAATTTTCGGAAATGCATTAGTTTATTATTGTGTATCCACAAGAAAGTTGAGAAGGAATTATGGACTGATCACTGTTAGAGGATTTATGTATAATGTAAGGATAAAGGTACTTTCCAATGATAAGTATCTATCTCTGATGTATACAATAATCCCCAACACTCCGTATAGGGATGAAACATAATGAAATTGTGCACACGTAAAAGCCAGTATGTACTGTCAACTGAGTTAAAAACATATAAGATTTCACTTTTCTATTGGTGTACATTTGTATACAATAACGACCTTTTAAAAGGTGAAATCCCAAATCTGATGTAGATACAGAATGGAAAAGGTCGTTTTATTTACGCCATACAACGCATTACAAATGGTACAGACAACACAAATACACTATATATATCAAAACTGTAGCTGTTTATTGTGTTTGCTTGTAACCGGTGCAAGGTGTAAACTGTTACCACGATATCTAGTTCCGACAGAGAGTATACGTTACACAGCCTAATTGTGCGTGTTGGTTCGTCTAGTTATTTTAAAAAAATCAAGACAACCGATTAATTTATTCTGTTTTTTTTTCTTTATTTCTGAGATAATTGGTATTATTACATTTTGGTTTTTGTTCTGCCTTTTCATATACAAATTAGTTTGTAACATCACTTCCGCATTAATGCTTTGTTTTAGGTTGTGGTGGTATAGTCGATATTACGTCAGGACCTCGTACAATTCAATCACCAAACTACCCACAAAACTACAGCAAAGAACTCTGTACATGGCTTGTTCAGGTTTGGAAATACTTTTTTTTCTTTTAGACGATTTAAGATGTTCAAGATGCAATAAGACTATAACAAGTATTCATTTTCATGGAACTTTCCTCGACGAATACTCTTCATTCCTTCCATAATATGCATGATTTTTTCGCAATCGTATTAGTATTATATTTGTATATTGGTCGCCGGACTGAGATCTGATAATTTTATAAACGTTTTTCACAACGTGATGTGATAATTATATAAACGTTTTTCACAACGAGATGTGATACGTGTATGAATGTTTTCACCAAGAAATCTCATTTATGTTTGAACGTTTTTTACCATGCAATCAGATATCATAATTTACCGGAATCTCCACGAGATTTCATACCTTTATCAACGTTATTCACCACGAGATTTCATACCTTTATCAACGTTATTTACCACGAGATTTCATACCTTTATCAACGTTATTCACCACGAGATTTCATACCTGTATGATCGTTGATCATTATTGTGGCATTTTATGCCTCTATGATTGCCATTCACCCTTAGACTTCATATGAACGTTAATCATCATTAGATTACATGCTTGTATGAACATATATGAATTTGTTCGCCTACAGTTAAGCATAAGAATACATTATTTTCAGTACATGGTCTTGAGCCTGTTTTGATTTTTCGCAATTTTAGTTCTCCTGCATGTATTGATATTACATGGTTCTAGAACTTAGTTTCGCCAATATTTCTCAAACAATGTACCGGTATGACTTGCTCATAATTATAGCATGTTTTGTGTATGATCTATTTATATCATCCAATCATCGTGTCTTTTCTAGATTTTATGTACCCTGCTTCGTTATAATTTTTGCGTTACATTTTCCTCAACACTTTCTATTTTCCTGTCCATGCAAAACATCGTGGTGTCAACATACAGGGTCCAATTGGAAAACAGATACAAATGACAATCGAAGATCTTAGCCTACCATACAATGAAAAGAATCGCTGTTACCACTGGCTTGAAATGCGGTACAACTTAGTAGGACAGACAGGGCTACGGTAAGCAGCCACGTCGAGACAATGAGATTGACATGTTTTGGTTTCTTTTCGTTCGAATTATACAATTTAGATGTTTAAATAGTATGTTTCCATTCTACTAGGAGTTTCCAGTTTAGTTTGTGTAAACCAGACGGGAGTAAATTAGACTATGAACATGAACATGGTCAAGCGTATTAATATAAATTCGGTGGTCAAAGAGTAGTCCTGGCAGATGTTAATGTAATTTATGCATTCTGTGTTGCATTCACCTATATATTACTACTACGCCGAATTATAATATTTGCTAATACAGTTTTCATTGATTCGGTCGATGTAAGAATAATTCTAGATTTTTTTCTAAGTAAACAAAACTGACCGGTGAAGTAGAATCAATAATATGACATCAGAAATAATCCCACTTAGGTAAGACCTTCACAGAAAAGTAACTTTACAAAGCTAACAAATTATTACAGAACAAATTTATTGTCAAACATGTAATTTTACAACATACATATATCGTCGCCATAACTTACGAAATGACCACGTCAACTTCACCTGGTACAGAAGACGTCGATCTGACAAACAGACAAATGTAGAATACGTTACAAACAAAAACTCGTTACTTACTGACATCTATGGTAATGCTATTCTAAAAATCACATCAATACACTTTTTCTGGAATTTTCTGGAAGAAACACTTAACACACTGTTTCGTAAAACCATACTGAGAGCCCCATCACTTTTTTTTAAATATCAATGCGCAATAAACTTATTCCATTTCCAACGAACAAAAAATGCAATAATGTGATTATTTTATGTTTTACATACGATACTTTCTCTTTTTCTTCTTCAATAATCAAGTCAAATTTGTGACTATAATATTTCATACAATAGTTATCTATGAGGACACAAAGAACTATACGTTTAGGCTAGTATTAGTTTTGGACTTGCTGACGTCAGTATTTGGTTCAGCGGGAAATTTATACGACGTATTACTGGTTTTGTTTTGTTTGGATTTTATAGCCATTGAGACTGGAAATATAGATAATAAAATGTAACCAGGGTAACAGTTGATATAAAGTCAATCCGGTGGAAAATAAATAGAACGGCGCACTTTAAAGTGTTTAGATAAACCGAAAGTTATTTTTCATTAATTTTACCAGTGAATCTTGATCCAAATAAATAATACTTGTACTTAAGTTTTGTTTACCAGTATTGTCTATTCTTTAACAGGATATGTAGATCTTAGTTTTTGAACAATACCAACCCGATCAGAAAGATTCAAAATTTAGAGGATACAATGAATATTTTGGAACATCTATACCAATATTTTTACAGTAAATGTGGTGACGTTACAAATGAGATATACACGACATCTTGGGAAGGAACAATGGATGGTACAATAAATGTGTTGTTGCTGATATTCGACAGTTCTTACGCAGCTGATAAACCCGCAAGCAGAGGCTTCAGTATCAATTTAGAATCGGTAGAACCAGGTAGGTTAATGATAAAACATGAATGGAACTCTGCTACGTGATTTTATAATACATGTTGTTGAGAACATCAAGTAAGGTATGATATATCAGAAGTGTAAGACTTGATTTTAAGCTCAAATGGTTTTTTTTTTCTTTATGATAATGGCTTATTATTTACAACCTGAAGTTACAGGTATGATTATGATGAAATGTTGACCGTACAACTAACATTCCATCTGAAAGTTACATATTAGATTCCATCGTTTAAGTTAGATCTTCAGAAAAAAATATGGGTTTCTGGATTTTATTTCTTCGTATTTTTCACTAAAATGGAGCAGAGTGTCTTCAGTAATAACAGATATATTTCATGAGAGTGTTTGATATTTTCGTGTTTTCAAAAAGAATTCTTTGCCCGACAGAAAGATACAAAAAGACATTCTTATTATTACATTTGGACAAGCAAAGATAACCAAATACCGGCATATCTAGGACGGAAATAAACTAGCCAATCGGACTATACTTTTCGTTGACAATTTTCACTTATTATAACTTCTCAGTACACGACAAAATATAGTCCGTCATTTTTATTCAGTAAAATTGTATAAGCATAAAAACAGATTTCATATACGGATAGAAAAAGATACATATCCATGACACTAGCAGACAGAGTTTGCTTTAAAACGTTCAGAGAGAATTTAACAATAATATTTGGTGACAAATTCCTACGCTGCTACAAATATGGCAGCAACCTAAGAGGTTGTGCCTGCTGATGACACGAATTCTTTATAATTTGTCAATTGGTAAAAATGTAGTCAAGACCATAAATATGTTTCTTTTATTTATTTATTGTCGTCTAATCGATTTGAATTATTGATCCAAAGTCTATTTACATATCTGTATGTCTTAACACGATTATTTTTATCTTGCACGTCACTGGTTAATAAATTCAGATAAATGCTCGTTTTAGTATACATCAATTTAATTGAAATTTAAATGTCCGGTGGATTAAGTTAATTTTAAACAAACAAAAAAAAAGATAATAAACGAACGCGTTAATGCTTAATTCGAAGTTTTCTTATTATTATTTTTTTCTTTATTTTTTTTACAAGTTATCTTGATATTTATGTACAAATATATATATATGAAATTTGCTCATTCCTCTCTCATGTCGTGCGCTTAAATTTGTGGTGTAATTAGTGTCACAGCCGGGTCTTAAAAAGACGCAGAAGCTATTGATAGTTTAATTTCTTAACTATACTGTATCTAAAGCTAAATCCTGTTTGAGTATTGTACAATCTTTATATACATGTGATATGTCAACAGGTTGTACAAGTAGTCCATGTATTCATGGGACCTGCCAGGATGTCTCTACAACTGAATACAAATGTAACTGTGACAAGAATCATCATGGTATCCTCTGTGATAAATTGAAAGGTAAACAACAACAATATGTGTATGAGATCAAGATGCATTTTTCACACGTCTTATGTTTTATCTTATATCCAAATCAGAATTAGATTATTACGAACATTAATGTTGCGCAAGTATCAAATTATCAATCTCAAAGGATAAATTTGCAAAGTACTTGTCATTTGTTTTTAATAATCAATATTGGAAACCATGAAATCTATTTAATTTTTTAATTTATCCATTCGTTATCTTCAGTCACCATAAATTGCTTTACAATGAGGCTCTTGGATTTAGGAATCAAGTGTATGATACAGGATTATTCACTTATTTTGCTTCACTTTATCTAACTCAAAATGTGTATAGACATATGTTAATCACTGTTGTCACTGTGATACAATAATAATTTTTCTAACGTGCAAAATATAGATCGTTTTTGTCGACTTCAGAACTTTTTTATCATGTACCTTTAAATTCATTTTAAGGAATGAACGATTTGGGCGTTTTCTTTTTTAGTTCAAGAAGCTGAATTTGTTAACATTTTTGAATATTTAATGCCTTTTGCATCTTCTTTGATAGCCTCACCCTCTTTTTTCTGTGACTTTGAAACTCCTGATGAGTGTTACTTCGTCAACAGTGATACAGCCGGAATAGACGTCTTTGATTGGCAAAGACACAAGGTAAAGAGATTTTGAAATGATAGTAAAACAAAAACAAAACACCAAACAAAAGACAACAAAAAAACAAACAAAAAAGATGATTTATAAATAAATAATCAAATGTTTCCAAACAGAACAAGCAGCTCAGTCTCTATACATACACACAATTGAACTCATAAACTGATTTTTTTAAAAAATGATTAATCATTTAACGCATCGTTTATCTGATAAATACAATCTAGCGTGTTTGCCAACACACAATATGAAATATATACGATATACCATAGGGATTTATAAACTTATTTACGTCATCCTTTTCTGATACCTTCAAGGGATATATACTCATCAAATAATATCGTGCAGTGACAGAGCTTCAGTCATATTGTTAAAACAATAACCTTTGACATTTTTGTACTGACCAAAGGTTAGTATAAGTGTTATTGTTACCATGACAACATATTTTGATGACTTTACTGAAGTA